ATTTACAAGTCACTATGAACGGGAGGCTTTTTCTCCCAGGCAGATTTTGACCGTTTCACTCCGTTCTTTCGCCATTTCCCCACTACACAGCGCCCTACTAGCATTTTAGGCTAAGTAGGAAACCATCGTGCCAACTGCCTTTAAGATTTCAACTCTTTTTGTTAGTCCTGTGTAGTTCTCCTTGTACTTTATTATTTAGCCGGCTTCTTGAATACTTATTTAAGATTTATGAGTATCTTCGAGTACACCTTTGAATGCATTGAATAAGTAATGAAATTGTGAAATATTCAAGGCTTACTACTTTGGTGGACGTGCAGCTATTCAATTAGGCAACTACAATGAGGCTATACGACTCATCACAAAGGCTAAGGAATTGGCTAGCAGTCAAAAGGTAAGCCTGTTTGAAGACTTAAAGCTCTTCCATTTTGTAACCCTTGCACTGTTTGAGTGTTTCTAGTTATCCCACAGTATTTCGACCCCTTCATCTGTTTTCAAAGGCTCGGACATCCCTAAGGAGGTAGGCGCTGAAGGGGAGAGGAGCATTTAATGCTATGGACAAAATTCACTAGAAATGGAGCCTGCGAGTGCCATTCGTGACTGGGAGAGTTTCAAGTAAGAATATGAGGGTAGTGGGTAATTCAGTAGTGAAGAAAGGATCAAGGAAGGACGTCGAAAACGCTCAGAATAACAGCGCTATTATCCTTACATGGACATACGGTGAAGGTGAAGAGATACAGCGTTAAAAAAAGAGTAACTGACGATGATGTTGGAGAGGGTATCAGACTGCCGAGACTCTCCCCCTAAATAGCGAAGTCAAAGCAAAACTATGAAGGTGCAGCACGGTCGTGAGGGAGGAGATTGCTCAACAAGACGGGGCTTCTTATTGAGCACTTTCAAGTCGCAGGAGTGGGACATTATCCGCGATTGCGAAGGCGCCACCTACAAGGAAGTGCTGCTCCGCTTCTCAGGTAATCGCAGATTCCGAGTTTGAGCGTTAAGCTACACTCCATATCCCGGAGAAGAGTTGGTCGTGACTAAATACTTCATTTGAATGTGGTGGTAACTACGCTTTTGGTGAGATATTGCCGTTTTGGCGCAGCTGTAATCATGTCTTTGTCCAGTACAAGACCAGATGACAGTTGTAAATAAGAACATCCTATGAAAAACGCATCCTTCGCCATGTTCAGAAGAAGTGCGCAGCCACGCTCTTTCCATCCCCGGGATACAGAGTGTATGTCTAGGTCTGAAAACGATGGAAAGGTTGACCGAATAAAGTTATTAATTAACCACTTTGTGGAATAAGCGGAATAGCGCTACACAAGTACTATCAAGTAGTCAGTCTGATTTGCTGCCTCTTATCCAGTAATAAGCTGCTCTTCACGTTAGGGTTTCATGATGTTGTGATATAGATGAATTTCGGCGATGAAATCCATGCTCAAATGCGTCTCGCGCGAAGAGAAAAATTCCGAATGGAGGAGGAGAAACGCGTTAAGGAGGAGGGCGAACTTCAAATATACTTGAGGAAGTGGGTGTTTAATTGATAGTTGCTTTTTGATCCTTACATGATTTTGCTTTGCTTTCTCAATTCTCAGCGCGAGTCGTGGTCGAATAGTCTGAGATTTCTAAGCATTTCAGATTGATTGAAGAAGATGTGAGCCGACGGATAGCTGAGGTAGTGTCAGCTGGATCTACTGCCGAGTCTGGAACAGAAGGGGAAGGCACCCACAACGAAGAGGTGACAGATAAAGTGGAGCAGATCACACAGGAAGGCGAACAACATAAAGCACAGCTCGACTCGTTATTTGCACAGGTATGAAGAGGATTGCACGCTAGCGTAGCTGAGGGGGAGGGGTTACACTCGCTCGCGTCTCTGTGATCCTTCCTTGAAAGGGCTCATGCCTAGAGTGCAGGCGACCAGAGTTGCCGACAAATAGTCTCACAGCGAGGACGATCTCCACTAGCCATAGGCAGAAGCTTGATGAGAGGAAGGGATGCAGAGGAGCTACCGATTGGTGCCCGTCCCACAGTTGTCACAGTGAATTCATGGTCTGGAACCAGTTTACCTCTTCAATTACGGAAAGTAGTGATCGACATG